TAAATACCGGGGATGAATGGGGAAACACAGGTGCATGGGATGACTAATCAAATTAAATAACAAAATGAGGACAGGAACATGACCAAATAAGGGAACAGAAACAGAGGCCAAACATGACACAGACAGTACATGATCCTGACATTACGCCCCTCCCAGAAGATGCGTCCTCGCACTGTAGAACAACAGAGGTTCCCAGAGGGGTGGGAACTAAGGAGGAGGCTCAGGAGGAGGACGGATGTCCGGGAGGGGGCCGGCAGACAGAGTCCAGGGAGGAGACGATGGAGGGAGGAGCCAGGGAGGAGACAGGAGGGGCTTGGAGCAGGAGGAGCCCAGCTGGACCCAGGCCGCAGCCATGATGTCGACCCACGGTGGAGCAAACGGAGGGAGGAGCCATGGAGGAGGAATGGCCGCCAACTCCAGGGGCCCGACCAACGGCGGCGGAGCAGGTGGCAGAGGAGCCCGAGGCGGAGACGGAGAGCCAACGAGCCAAGGGGATGTCGAGGATCCGGGGGGCCAAGGTAGAGCCGAGGGCTCTGGCGACCGAGGCGGAGGCGGAGATCCGGAGACTCCGAAGACTTTTTAGCATGTGACTGAGGACCAAGGTTGAGCTGGCAGGAGGAAGGAGCCCAATGGAGCCTCCGGGCATTCAGGGCCAAACTCTGGATCGGGAGTCCCCTCAAGGCTGAACACGGGAACAGGATGGCGCTCTGGAGGAGAGGACACTTGAGGGCGCTTTCGAGGCGCGGGCATTGGAGGGTGCTTTTGAGGAGCGGGCACTGGAGGGCACTTTCCAGGAGCGGGCACTGGAGGGTGCTCTGGACTGGGCCATACTCAGCTCACCCTCAGCCACGGTGCAGGGGACGGAGCTCCTCTCCACGCTCACACCGTCCGCGGACTTCTCCCTCGTGACGGGCATTGCGGCTGGAAATAGCTCGGGCTGATGCTCCACATCATGGGGAGATGGTGGGCTGGTCTCTGGGTCTGGAGTGGATCTGACGAGATCATCCATGGGGTAGGATGGTGATCCATCTCTCGCCAGAGTCCACTCAACGAAGGCAACGAAATCCTCTCAAAGATCATCCTCGGACGACGGCGCTCTGGCTCGTGTCATAAAATGAGCAGAGCGCGTCGCTCGGGTAGCTGGTGGTGCTAGCTAACAGCTGGAACAGTCTTGTATGGTCCTCAAGAGATCTGTCCCTCTGCTCCAGCAGGAGGAGGAGGAGGAATTCGGGGTGAAGGAGGGGATCCATGGAAACAACGGGAACAAAAGAAAACACAGAGGAAAAAACAGTCATGGTACGCTGTTGGAAGGAGTACGAGGGAAACAAGGAGCAGTGTTGGGGAAAGTTACTTTTAAAAGTAATGCATTACAATATTGCATTACTCCATAAAAAAGTAACTAATTATGTTACTTAGTTACTTTTTATGGAAAGTAATGCGTTACGTTACTTTTGCGCTACTTTTTAAATCTGGACAGGGCTTGCTTGTTTGTTTTTAAAATAAAAAAAGTTATATTTTTGGCAAATATAAAAGCCTTTCACAGCAAAAGTGAAATGAATAAGCCTCAGGCTGAAGGGAAAGTAAATTTACGTCCGTACAGTAGAATACAGAAGAAGAAATTTCAACACACTTCAGCAATAAAAAAGACACATGTTCGTCTAGAGTTATTTGTGCTTATTAGTACGGTTGAACTGGATCATCGAAAGTCAGAAGCAAAGACATTGGTTAATAGAATGGGAATAAATACATAAAGGATAGTTGTGTTGTTTAACGTTTAATTATTGCAGGTTTGCATCATATTCTGAGTTGCATTATTTTTATTCATTTTGAGGAATACTGAATCTGTGTTTTTTTTTTTTTGTGAGTGAGATGAATTAATGCATATTCATATTTATTTTAGAACTACAGTAACATCGTCTGATTTCTCTCAACATGGGACAGGAGAGCTGTCAGTTCGCCGCGTAAACATAAAACCATGTCTGCATTTGTGATCGGAGAAACGACAAACAACTAGCACTGCTCTACACTGCTCAAAACTCACGTTTGTATAGTCAGTGGCAAATCCTTTAAATATGAAAATGTATTTACAGGCTGTGAGTTAGCATTATTTGTCAGAACACCGGCATATTAGGCTACATTCCCAGGAAACAGTCTTTGTCCTCCGTAAAATGCGTTGCACACATCTGAATATTTGGTTTGAAGTGTTCTGGAACAGTGTTGTAAATACAACTTAACCACTGATTTCTAGTTGTGTCCTCTTTTGGAAGACCAAACAAAGTAGTTTTCACGACATGACGGCGGCAACAATACTACAGCGAGAATCAAAGTTACGCCTTCTTTCTTTGCGTGAACATTTGGGCGGTGTTATGCAAATCTTCCCACATAGTGATGTAGACATGTGGGGGCGTGTTTAAACGAGGCGTTTTAGGAGGCCTTGGACTAGTCTTAACTTTTATATAGAATATATTTTTGGGTTTGAGACTTTAGTCTTTGCAACTTTAGGGATCTTATCTATTCACGAACAGCTTGTAACACTCCAAAGAGAAAGGAAAACTTGAAATCGCATCATATGACCCCTTTAAACTAGAACCCAAATATTGTGCCCGTTTCACTCAATAAAATTGAGGCAACTATATGCACCAGCTTTTTGAGTATTTTGAACTAATTTGATCTTTGTTTGTTCTAATAGACTTTACATGTTTTAAACTTGCACTCTTAAGTAATGGCAACTAAATTTTTGTTCAGTTTACAAACTATAGTTTTAAGTTTATCAAACATAAACCTTGTTGTTTTTAAAGTAATATTTACCAATTTCTTCTTATAAGTCACACATTTTTTGTTTTTTTTCAAAATGCACTCAATCTGTATTTAAATAGTTCTACATTTTTCTACAATAGTGTAATGACACAGTAACAGGCGTCTCAAAACAACAGTGCAACAATGCAAAATACAGAGTATCATTAACACTACTGATTTAGGGACCAGTTCTCACTATTAACTAGTTGCTTTTTAGCATGCATATTACTAGCATATCGACTGTTTATTTGTACTTATAAAGCACATATTAATGCATTATTCTGCATTACCATATTCTAGATCCCATCTGAGAGTACAAGCTGCAGTCACGGTTAAAATTATGAGAGGGTCCTTGAAACATTTTCTCCGCTGTAAGGGGTCCCTGGCCCCAAAAAGTTTGAGAACATTGGGTCTAAGGGCATAAAATAGCTCTGTGTGACAAATGTAAGTGATTACCCACAGAAACTCTCTCCCTCAATGATCTCTGTTCAAATTCTGATTCACACGCAAAGTGTGTTTGCATTCAAACGGACGTGTGGCACTCATTGAAAATATGGAGGTAAGGGATGAGTCGAAACTGCACTTCAAACTCATTGGCTCTCGCGTGTATTGTACTTAAATTTACAATCTAAAGAACTGAGATATATTATTACACTACTTTTATTTTTCATACAATATATTACACAAATGCACATCTTTTCTTGGAGTGTAAAGTCTGTGTCCATCGTTACTAAAGAAACCATTTCCTGTGTCACATATGTAGACGGCTGAAGTGCTTCGGTTTGACTAAAAGAATATAAATAGAGCAGAAGAAAACCACAAGCTGGAGAGTATCTCACGTTGACGATCTTTAGCCCACTTAAACACTGCAAACACAAACCACTGAGACTTTTACATGCAAGTCTATTCAGCCTAGTAAAACTACTCGGTTTAAGACTAGCCTATTTTCCTGAAATTACATTACCGATATTTAAAATACTAATGTAAACATTCAAAAACAATTAATGCCATGATGGAGCTAGTTGAGTCTTGTGCTCTTGTCCTTACTGAAGCATCGCTGAGAGACTCTTCATGCTTCTGGAAACTGAACGAAACCTAAAATATTCCAGAATCGGTGGTGGATTCTGAGAATAAACAAGATGTGCAGAATTCAAAGAAACACAAGATCTTAAGCGCAGGAATGAATAAACGGCAGTGACTTATGTGTTGAAAGACAAATACAACATTAATACTGATGCAAATAGAGAGAAAGGCTGTCCCCTTTGTGCATTTGGGTTTGGTTTTATTGTCTTTTGAGAAAAAAATGACCATTTATTTGTCGTTCTCATCAGCAGATCTGCACACATGTTCCACTTCAGTCTGTTTCTGTTCAGTCTCTTGTGGTCTCACTGTGGGTTTCCTGAAAAAGTCTGTTTAATCTTCACATTCAAACTGAACTGAGACCCTGAACCTGTCTGTTGTTTTCTGTGGTTTTGAGCTTGACGGAAAAATGACATGTTCATCACACTAAAAGACCTCCAGCATTCATGAGAAACGTTTTGTGAGATATTCACAATAAATAAATAAAAATATTCAACATTCGAACAGTGAATGTTTAAACTGAAATAAGACTACTGATGATTGTACAATAATAAGTAAGAAACTCATTTTAAATTATTCAAATTATGAACAGTCAGACGAAATGACCTGATTCCCTGAATATTTAAATCAGTCCTGACAGTGATGCAAGTGAAAATAACATTTTTATTATTTGCAGAAATTATATCTCACTCTCTTTTATGATGATAATCAGATTATTATAGTCTTATGGTGCATTTTAAAACAAACGTTGGGATGATCGCGTTAATTTAACCTAGAAACATTGATTTCTAGAATCAATCATCAATCTATTATTTTATTAAAATTATTAAATAGAAGGCCTTCCTACCCGATAAACTATTTGTTATTAAATACCAATGAGGCACTTAATTTACACTTTTAGAATATTTATTTTATGTTTATTGAAAATAAACACCTTTCCAGTCTGACATGTGATGTGAAAAGGGAGTAGAATGAGTTTGTGATGAGGTTATCATCACGCACCTTACATGTTACACCACTGTTTCTATTTTGTCTTTTGCGTCTTTCATAGTTTTGTCTATCCAGACATTGCTGGGTGGAGTTACTGTAAATAGCCTCTGCAAACAAGGTGGGCAATTTTCACTTAGTGTGAATAGATACTCCACTCATCACAACTAATGTAACGCATGCTTTGTGACCTCTGTAAGTTAGTTGAGTGTCATGCGGAGACTGACTGCAGCGTAATCAGAGTGAATTTCCTCATTACTGAATCTGACCGTAGCGTCACTGAGAGTGTTACGGGGCTGACGAGACGTGAGACTTGCGGATCCATTCGCAGAGCTTTTTTATTGTAGAAGACAGAGACGTGGTCATACAGCAGACATGGGTCAGATAATGGCAGACAGGTATATGGTGGGCAAAACACAAGAATAGTCCTAGGGCTAGCGCAGGTCGACGATCGGCAGACAGAATCAAAAGGGGCAAGACAAAAGGGGTGAATCCAGGGAACCAGGCGAAGATCAGAAACCGAGAAGACTGAGGCTAAGGCTAAGGCAAATGACTAGGGCTAAGGCTAATGACTAATGACTAGGGCTAAGGCTAATGACTAGGGCTAAGGCTAAGGCTAAGGCTAAGGCAATGACAAGGGCTCCGTAAGGTAGCTATCTCTAGGGGAGTGATAAATGCTGAAACAATACTCGGCAGAGGGAAGGGATCAGAGTGAGTGTTAAATAGTGAGGGAGTGATATGAAACAGCTGGGTGCAATCAGTGTAAACAGGTGTGTGCAATTCGTGCTGAGTGCAATCAGT